AAGTAACACTGGTAAAAAAATGATTTATCCTACACATATCTTACACATATTGGGTACTCAAAATGTAGAAAATAATACACAAATAATACACATATCATACACATATCGGGTACTAATATAAATATCATACATATATCAGGTACCTGATAGGTATACTATATATATAAATACCAAATATGTATATGATATGTGTATTATTTGTGTATGATTTTCTACATTTTGAGTACCCGATATATGTAAGATATGTGTAGGATATGTGTAAGATAGACCATTTTTTTACCAGTGATAATTTATTAATATTTATTATTAGCACTTATTAAATATAAGGTATATTGGTAAAATGCATTTAAGTATTTACTTAAAATACTAATAAAATGCTTAAAAAATTAAATGGTTAATAAATATTAAAATTTAGTACTTATTTAATATATTAAGCATTTATTCCTTAATAAATATAAAATTTTAATTGCTGATCTGCATATGATCGATAGAACAGATATAGTAAATTATGGCATTATATTTAATAGTAAAAAAAAATGTGTTTGAAATCTCTTTTTCCCTATGTTAAAATCCCATATTATTCCAGGAAAACTTGTTGCAACTGGTAGTATTGTGCCAGAACTTCATTATGATCTATATTTACGTAATTGGTGGATTTTTTCTAAAGAAAAAACTCAAGAAAAACAAACATATTATCCTATTCCTTTACGTTTAGGACTTGAAATTATAATCCAACTTAATAATAACCCATTTATTATACATATAGTTCGTAATGTTCATAGTTCTCTACAACCTGGCTATATTTGTAAAGGAAAAAGACAAAGTAGTGGTATTAATACAAGTGCTTCCACAGTGTTAACCGATTCGGTATGTTGAATAGATTAACTATGATTTGCAGTCAGAAAGACTAAGTACGTTTAATTATGACTGAAATCCAATCAAACAAGATACGCTTAAAATAGGGAGTTCATTTATAGTGTAAAAGGTTATACTTTATTATAGAACTTTTCAATTATTACAAGAATAAGAACTAATAGGAACTAAAGGAACTTAACTTATAACAAAGGAAAATACCAACGTTATTTATATAAAAGTTACTACATATAAAGATATAATAAATATAAGAAATATAATTAATATAAGAAATATAACTAATATAATAAATATAATAAATAAATTAAATATAATAAATAAAATAATTATATCGATTATATTAAATATAATTAATATAATAAATATAATAGAAATAATAGGCTAAGTAGGCTGCAACTAGGTCAGCTTGGCACAGTTGGGCACAGTAGATCCTAATTTTCCACATGATCTTCTGGCGTAGTAAGTTGTAACTTTACACGTGACTAGGGTAACAGCGGCTATTACTTCTGTTTATCAATCTGTTTTTGGTAGTAAAATGAAATATGCAGGACTCTCTTATTTAGGTATAGTCCAATCTGAAACAGCACAAAAACTATTAGAAGGAGTCATATTTTGTTCTTTTATTGTTGAAGTAGAAAATATCACAGTTTTTGTTAGTTGTCTTGGTAAAATTACTATATCAAAAACAAATAAAATTGGCCATAATTATGCAGCATCATTATTTCATAAATACAAAAGAGTACAATCAGTTTTTTATCAACACGTTGATAAAAATTCTTTTTTAATTACAATATATCAAAACAGTCAAATCGTTGCTGAATATATAGATATTTCATTTAACGCTGTTTGGAAAAAAACTGGAGTTTTGACATCTATATTAGGCGAAACTTTATTTGTTATAAATCATTCTCTAACTTTAGATAGAATAAACCAAGCACGTCAAGAACTTTATTCACATAAATTACCTAATGAATGCACACTTGCAGATTGGAATAACAAGATAATTATGAAGCATTTATATGAATTGTATTTAAAAAGAAATATTAGACGATCAGTTGAATGGCATCAAATATTTCAAAATTGGATATAACAAAAAAGTAGCATTATTGAATTATATACCCATTTTGATGATACATACAATATAGATTATGAATTTCAAGAAAGAGACGGAATTGCGGGCATGGTATATAATGGTATATAATGCTTTGTGCTACAGGATGTACGAATATTACTCCATATAACAAAAATATTTCTTGTGTAAGTATAAATACATATATGGTGTTATTGATATTGTAAAATTATAATATTAATACTGTACTATCTGTAAATCTGTATATTTATAGAAGGAGTTTTGGACGAATACATCTGAACCTGAAAAAGATCATGAAACAATTGCCAAATTATATGCAGAAGAACTTTTGTATGTAACTTCACCAACTTGTGCATTATGGGATTGTTTTCGTAATAGTTATAATACAAATTCCAAAGAAATAGATGGTAAAATACACATATTATTAATAATTGCAGAAAAATTTACATATAAGGAGATAATTGAAGAGTTAAAGATAATGTGAAATTTTTGATATATTATAGAGACATGTATATAATATTTCATTACTCATTAGTATAATTATTTAGATTTCACCTAATTCAGTTAATGCAGCACAAAAACATTCCAGAATTAATAGATCTGAATGCCTTATACTGGAAAAGCCAGTTATTGTTCATTTAAAAATGTCAGAGATAGGACCCTGGATATCTCCAAAACAGGTCATAAGTCACACTTTTGGGCAAACATGGCATAGTAGCCTTTATCTTTATTAGTTATTTATCAAACTTTACAAAATTACATATAAGAAAAAGAAAATAAAATAAAAACTAACTAAAAACAAAGCTATATAGTCTTCTAGAAAGAAATTAAAATTAAAAGAAAATTCAAAGGAAAATTCGCTAATACTAACACTTCCTAGATCTCCCCCCTTGATATATTCCAACCAAAGTAGAAGCAACTATGCTAACAAAATAACAAATGACGCACCCACTATTAAAATTGACACTCCATCCTGCAAAAGCGGTTATTAAGTAGCACCGTTAGACGACCCATAAAACTCGAAATGTGATTAAACCAAGATAATCCATATTGCATCGAGTTTTTTAACCAATTGGTTCCGGAGTCACGTGAATCAACATGGGTCGGAGGTGGTAAAAACGAGTAAGGTAAATAAGAAGATTTGGGCAAACCTTTAGGCCTTGAAGATTGTTTAAGTTTTGAAGAAATGTTCATCGTATGTTCCCATAATCCTTTATCATACGAATGCGGATTCCAAATTCGTTTACGGAATTTGTTGATAAAATTGTTATGTATGGCGGCGACCACATTAATAGCAGCAAGGTGAGGAATACCTAAGTTTTTAAAAACTTCCAGAAAGGCTGTAGGCAAACAGCCACAGACAAGACTATAGGAAGACCAGTTGTTAGACGAAAAAGTCCAGCAAGGGAGGGAAGTAATTCTATTAATTGAAGAAGTAGAGATTGGAATCAATTTTACAATAATCAAATTTATCGAAAATCGATAAGAATCAATTTTAAATCGATTATCGAATAAAAATCGAATTTACTTATTGTGGCGCAGTAGCGTTAATAAGATTTCCCTGCGTACCCTACAAGTATTGGCCTATTTGTCACACATTATTTGTCACATAGTTAATTTCTTAATTTCTTAATGCCGGCCGTTTCGTGACATTTTGGGGTAGTCCGTTAATAAGAAGTTAGGTCGATGTCACGTGACATTAACAAAAATCCAAAAAAAGGAAAATTTGTTGTCCAATGAAATTCAAGTTATGTTGTACAAAATTCCCAAAAAGGAAATTTTTTATGTTGATCTTAATAATTTTGATAGTCACGTGACCGACAGTAGTATAATTTCGATTAATGATTAATCGACGATTAATCGATTCTAAAATCGATTCTAATAATGATAATCGATTCTAATCCCTATGAAAAAGAGTAATCACAATTGGCATTATCACGCACCCGCTTCTTTAATTTTTTGGGTAAGATGGTGAAGATATGACGTTAAAATTTGATGTAATTTAACGCGGCGCTTTTTGCATAAAAATAAGTGCATAAAATCTTCTAAGTGGTCTTCACAAGAACGACAGGTTAGAATCTCTACGTATAAATCAGGTCGTGTCCTTTTCAGGGATTCCAAAGTAGGTAAGTCTTCCAGGAAAAGTTGAAATTTCAACGTATGATGTCTAGAGACATTTTCCTTAGTGAAGGAATTATTAAATTTGGGTTGGAATAGGACCCCGCTTACTTCTAATAAAGGTCTCCGGGCAAAATTTCAGATTTACTAGTAATTTTACCAACCTTTCTTATCTCATAATTTTACCATATATATATAGTGATAAATTTTACCTTAGATTTTCAGAGACCTAAATTTTTTTAAATATTAAATAAACAAAATATTTTATAATCATTACAATAAATTTTAAAAATTTTTTATTTTTACTAAGTTTAATTCTTATTCTTTAAAGATAAATAACTTTTATTAGTAAAAAAAGTACTTTGAATTACAAAAATACTATAAAAAAAATCTTAAAGACACACATCTTTAACTTT